TTAGGGTTTAGGGTTTTAGGGTATGCTAAGTGGAGTCTAGCGGAGGTTTTACCAGCGCCTCCACTCCAAAACGCAGATCCTCATGCAGATGTGGTCTTGTTATTAAGGGCTTTAGTCAGGGCCCAAGGGGCTTTGCAGAAGCTTTATGAGGTACCGCAGTTAGACCCTAAACCTTAAACCCTGATGCCCAACGACCTCAATCCACGCAGTATGATGTATATATATATATATGTATTATTTATTTACCTACACACACTCACCACAGATATGTGTATATATATATATGTGCACATACACAGATGTATAAATATACATACATATTATATTTATGTGCACATATATATATATATACACATATGTTTTATGTTTGCTCATGCAGATATAGAGCACACACATATGTATATACATGAAAACAAACGTCCTTCCGAAGCCTTATAGAAGCTTTCACGAAGCCTTTTCACAACCCGCACCCTACATCTACAAGCCTCACTGTGGCCGGAAAGTTATGTATGTATGTATGTATGTATGTATGTATGTATGTATGTATGTATGTGGGCATGCATGCATGTATGCATGCATGCATGCATGCATGCATGCATGCATGTATGTATGTATGTATGTATGTATGTATGTATGTATGTATGTATGTTTGCATGTGTGTATACATATATGTACATGTACATACATAAGTCTACATAATATGTGTATATATATATATATATATATATTCATAGGTATGCACGCATACATACACATGCACACATACAAAGGGCCCAAATGTCCCAGTGGTGAGGTTAAAGCTGAAGTACGAGAGCCAGACGAAGGAGGGAACCAATGGGATCAAGCTCGCGAGCTCCATCGGCCAGCCGAAGGCGGTCTTTTGCAGAAGCATTTTTTTAGCGTTTAGGGTTTAGGGTTTCGGGTTTAGGCTTTAGGGTTTAGGGGTTTAGGGTTTCGCAGAAGCATTGTGTTGCTTAACTTGATCCATACATATTTATATATCTATGTCTATATCTATACACATACATAGAGGTATGTTCATGTGTGTACATATATATATATACACATAACTATATATGTAGATGCGCATGCACATTTCATGTTCGTATACATATAGACATGCACTTGTACACATGCATAGGAATACAAATGGGTGTACATATACATACGAACATATATCATGAATATGTATATATATATATACACATAAATGCGTATGTGGATATCGCTCTGTCTCTCTCTCTCTCTCTTCCTCTCTCTCTCTCTCTCGCTCTCTCGCTCTCTCTCTTTCTTACAGAAGCATTGCTCGTTTAATGCGGTCTCCAGCTTTTCTAACCTCACGCCATCATCTGCAATGTGTGTTGGTTCTGTATTTTCCTTTAGTCCAGAACAGCCTGAAGTGGGTTCCTGTATTGTTTTAGCTTCGGGGTTGTTTGTGCCAGGCTTTCTGGGAACTTGAAGGCTTTCGCCCTACACCCCTCTGCACAACTTCAATCAGACGTAGGGTTTGGGGTGCCTAAACCCTAAACCCCGAAACCCCGAAACCCCTAAACCCCTAAACCCCTAAACCCCTAAACCTTTAAACCCCTAAGCCCTTACACCCCTAAACCCCTAAACCCCTACGGTTAACCCTTATGGGTGTTGAGTCTTGGACATTTTCAGGTGGGTAGTTACCGTTATAGGAGCCTTATCGAGGGTCTATATACCTTATAGAAGCCTCATAGAAGCCCTATATACCCTAAACTCCCCACCTGTAGTTTTCTTTAGTTGAGGGTTGAGCTTTGGGCAGCTGAGACCAGCCGCTGTGCAGGCGGGCTGCTGCACCTGAGGCCCGCAACCCGGAGTGGGAGCTGTCGAGTTCAGAGCTCAGGGTTTAGGGTTTA